AGATTTGAGAGGCTCGGAGTTGTTGGCTCCCGACTCCCTCTCACTCTCTTGACTTTTCCCCAGAGTCTTGAGTAATTCATTCCATCTCGGTGGGACTTCTGCTGGCCAGAACCCACAAATGGTGATGAACCCACACTGGAAGGTTTTCTGTCTTTGTATGTTTAGCAAAAATTTAAATAATACAGGAGACATCTGTTCTTTGATTAAGACACATTTCTTAGTAGACCTTTGATAAGTTAAATTTTTTTTCAGTGACTATTGGTCTATTCAATTTTTCATTTATTCTTGAGTCAATTTTTAAAATTTATTTTTCTAGAAAATCAGCAATTTTACTTGGACCCTCAAATTTGTTGACAAACAGCTACACATGGTACTCTGTTATGAGCTTCCAAATGTGTCCTAACCTGTGGTTTAAACATCTTTTCATAGATAAGTTGTACGTATTTGTATCACCTCTTTTCCTTGATTAATCTTAGTGATCCTTTTTCTTTTTTATCATCGTTTTGGATTAAAAATCTGTGATTTTATTTACTAATTCTACTTTCCTGTTTGCTTTCTAATTCATTACCATTATTAATTTCTTTGGTTTTGTGATTACTCTCAGGTTACTGATAAGGTACAGGAACTGAGATAACTGAGTGGTAAAATTTCAACACAGATATGAAGGTTGCCCAAATTGGCGGTGGGGCACATGGTGGAGAGGAAGGCTCTTGGATGTGGTCGAGGCTTCTGAATGGTCATGAATGAAGTTGGGAGAGGAGGGAACACTTCCGTTTATTACGAGTGATAGCCAAAGATAGTTCTTTTGAATGATTTCCCTGCAGTGTAATGAATAATTCAAAGACGTTTAGAGTAAGTAGAGCATAAAGGACAGAAAGGAAATAAAATGAGCACATTTAAAGGTGCTTAGGTAGATCTACCTGCCCTGACTGCTGTCAAATAATTTTACAGCAATCAAGGGTTTAATGACTTCTAGGAAAAAAAAATTACTCAGAAAGTTATGCTTCTGAATTCAAATTTATGAAATATCCTGCTACTCAGTCATACTTTTTCTTCCGTCTCGAGCTATGAACTTCCCACATGAGGCTGTAGAATCTCTCCCTTCTTGAAACAACAAAGGCAGATTCCTAATGAGCAGGAAGAGGTTTCTGTGCCACTGGGAAAGCAAATGATCCTTCTGCCATTTTCATAACTTAGGGAGAAAAATTGAGATTGAATTAGGAGCATAGGGCTCTGTCTCAGGCTTCAACAACTAATGGACTACTATAGAGAAGCAATTCCTTGGCTTCGGATTCCTCTGGGATCGAATGTCTTACTGAATTTAAAAGCAGAGCAAATGAAACTTTTCCCAATATTTCATGCAAACTGGATAATGAAGCATTTATATTTACTGCCCTCCGCCATGTCCAACAATTTTAATTACACCCACAATCTTTAATTCCCTGGCCCCAGTGAACCTGGATATCCCATAAACCTCTCAAACAAATTTTTTGCATGGTTCTCTTCCATCCTATTATTATCTCCTCTTGGGTCTCGAACCTGCCAGCTTTGCCTACTCTGAACTCAACCATCTTTGAATTTTTTGCCCACTCCAACTTTCCCTTTACAATGACTCACTCATCATTAATTCTAGCTCCCATGCCTTTTTAATTCCCTCCACTCATGTAGTTCAGACTCGTTCTTGCTCTCAGAGACAGAGGAATGAGGAGTCACCAAACATCCACCCTGTGCTGGACGTTGTGGCAGACATTAACTACTTCACAGTATTTATTCTCCCTTTTCCTTTACTAAGAAAATCCTGGTTCTAAGCTGGGCACATAGCTGCTCAGATGAAAGGAAATCTTCTTAAAAGGGTGTGTGCGGGCTTTTCTTAGACTCTGTCTTTGCCCAGCTGCCCAAAAGAGGGGTCATGGGTCAGTGAACTGTAACCTTTAGGCAAGAACAGTAGAAAACTGGGTGAGAGGTATTACTATGGACTGAATTATGTCCTCTACTCCCAATTTATCTGTTGAAGCCCTAATCCCCAAAGTGACCACATTTGGAGATAGGGTCTTCAGGAAAATCATTAAGGTGAAATGAGGTCATAAGGGTGGCATCCTAATCTGATGGGACTGGTGTCCTTATTAGAAAAGCTTTCTCTTCTAATAAGACACCAGATCTCTGTCTCTGTCTCTGTCTCTGCACACAGAAAGGCCAATGAGGACACAGGGAGAAAGCAGCTGTCTACAAGCCAGGGAGAGGCCTCACCAGAAACCAGGCCTGACAGCACCGTGATCTTGGACTTCTAGCCTGCGGAACTGTGAGAAAACGAATGTTGGCTGTTGACGCCACGCAGTCTGTGGCCTCTCGCTGTGGCGGTCCCAGCAGGTTAGTGCTGGCACGTCAGAGCTCTCGGCACTAGCTTTGCAGCCTTTCTGTAAATTCACATTTATTTTTAAATAAGAAGCTCATCAAAGTAAAAAAGGATGAGAAGAAAAAAGAGAAAGAGCTGTAGAACACAGAGGGTCAGTGCAGAAA